AGATTGTTTTATATCAGATTTTGTGAAGTTCATACCCATTATTCTTCATATATCTTTTTCACCTTTTTCTCCTTTCTTGGTACTCCCATTATACGTATGTTGATACACTGATTTTGTAAGATGATCTCTTAGGCTATGTTCATGTTTCTGTTGTTCTTTTTTTCTTCTGTCACTCAGGTTAACATCAGTTGACTCACTTCAAGTTTGCTGATTCTTTCTTGTCCTAGCTCAAATCTGCTGTTGAACCTCTCTATTGAACTTTTTATTTCAGCTATTATACTTTTTATCTTTAGAATTTCTATATAGTTCTTTTTTATATTTTCTATCTCTTAATTGTTATTCTCTATTTGGTGAGATATTGTTCTTATACTTTAATTCTTTAGAAATTTCCTTTAGATCTCTTAACATATTTAAATGAGTAGATTTCAAGTCTTCATTGAGTTAGGCCAGTATCTGGGCTTCCTTAAAGATAGTTTCTATTGACTTTTTTATCCCCCTGCATATGGGCCATATTTTCTTGTTTCTTTACATGTCTCAGAATTTTTCATTGAAACTGAACATTTTCAATTCTATACTGTGATAACTCAGAAAATCAGATTGTTTCCCCTCTCTAGGTTTGTTGTTGTTGCTGTTTATTGTTTTTGTTGCTCACTGTTGCTGTGACTTTCCTGAACTAATTCTTTAAAGTCTTTATTACTTGTATGTGGCCATTGAATTCTCTGCTTGGTTAGCTTAGTGGTCTGCTAATGATCGAACAGAGATTTTGTTGAATGCATTGAACCAGCAAATCTCCCAGCAAGGCTCCCCAGTGTTTGGGGTTATGACTTAAGGGCTCTGGCAGGTATTTTGCATCTGTCTTCCTTTTTTACTTCCTGCTTGTTCAGAGCCTCAAGGTCAGTCAGTGTTGAGTATCTTAGTGCTTTCAAAGTTTCTGTGAACATATCATTTCCAGTTTTTCCTTTTAAATTTTTGGGTCAGCTTTTTTGCCTCGGTTATTATTGTTGTCTCAGGCATCTGCCACATTAAATGATTGTTACTGATTAGTTTTGATCATAACCTTAGGGTAAAAGCCTCTCACATTGAGAAATCTCTTCAGTCAGGTCAAATAAAGACAAGCTCTGCCAGTGAGTTTCCAGGGATGTCCCAGACAAGCGAAGTGATAGTTCTCTGGGAATGGGGATTTGGGGGTAGCTGCAGACTTGTTCAGCTCTTTCCAGTGACTACCAGGCTGCTGGTTTTCAAACTACCGTGATTATGAGGCTGTTGGTTTTCAGCTGCTGAATTGGAGATGAAAATAGGGCACAGCAAAATGGTAAAGCTCATGGTTATTACCAAGACTCAGCCATTTTTCTTGAAGAAATGCTCTTCATATTGTTGTAAGCCTTTGTTCAGTTTCCAGAGTTTTGAAAATGTTGATTTTTGACAAGTTTTGCCATTGTTCTCTTTGCTTCTTTGGAGCCGCAGATTTTCGAGCGTCCTTATTCAGCCATTTTGAAGGATTCCTTCCGTGTTTGCTTTTATGATTGTAGCATTTTCTCTTATCTCTTAGAAGCATTAGTGATTTTGTTTTCATTTATTTTTTTAAGATACGGGGTTTCTTGCTCTGTTGTGCAGGCTGGCCTCAGAACTCCTGAGCTCAAGTGATCCTGCTACCTCAGCCTCCCAACTAGCTGGGACTACAGGTGCATACCACTGTACCTGGCAAATAATGTGTTTTTAAAACTTTTCTTTTCTCTTCCGGATCTCTTCTGTCCTCCAGGTTGGGATTTTTGAGTATGTGTGTGTGTGTGTTTGTTTGTTTGTTTATTTATTTATTTGAGACAAGGTCTTGCTCTTTTACCTGGGCTAGAATGCAGTGGCATGATCATAGCTCACTGCAAACTCAAACTCCGGGGCTCAAGCCATCCTGCTGCCTTGGCCTCCTGAGTAGCTGGGACTACAGCCAGGCACCACCACACCCAGCTAATTTTTCTATGTTTTGCAGAGGATGTGGGGGTGGGGGGGTCAGGGGACTGTCTAACTTTTGCTCAGTCTGATTTTGAACTCCTGGCCTGAAGCAGTCCTTCTGCTAGTATTATAGGTGTGAGCCAGCCTTTTTGTTTATTTTGATCCCTCTTTTTCATGTTAAAAGCTCTGAGTGTATAGGTAGAGCTGTGGGTTGACTGTGAGATTGCTGTACATGAAATAAATATTTGTTTCTAGGAAATAATTTAAAATTTAAATTTTATAAATTTTTCTAGGCCAGACATGGTGGCTAACGCCTGTAATCTAGCACTCCAGGAGGCTGAGGTGGGAGGATCACTTGAGATCAGGAGTTAAAGACCAGCCTCAGCAAGAGCAAGACCCTGTCTCTACTAAAAATAGAAATAAATTAGTTGACCAACTAGAAATAGAAAAAAAAAAAAAAAATTAGCCAGGTGTGGTGGTACACGCCTGTAGTCCCAGCTACTCAGGAGGCTGAGGCAGGAGGATTGCTTGAGCCCAGGAGTTTGAGTTGCTGCGAGCTAGGCTGACGCCATGGCACTATAGCACAGGTGACAGAGCGAGACTCTTTCAAAACAAATTTTTTTTTTTCTAGGAAGGAAGGAATTTGTTCCAAATCTTACGGTAAAATAAATTCCAATTGAATTGAAGAGTGAAATATCAAAATTTAAATTCAGAAAATATAGGTGAAAATGGTAGTTTTTTATAAAACCAGTGAAGAAGTTCATTTTAAATTGAGATCCAAAGATTTAAAATAAAAAAATTTGGTGGCTTCAGAGGGGTAATCATTAGTTAATGTATTCAATGTCTTTGATTCTATAAAACTCACCCTTTTGGATTTGTGGAAATTGATAGTTCCCAAGAGAGGCAGTTTATATTTCTGTGCTCAGACAAAAGCCAGTCTTTCCATTTGTAAGGAATGTTTTGTTGGTGTTAGACTGTCTCTTGTGGCGGTAACCTTGGTAGGAGCCGTTAAATCAGCATTATTGAGTAGAGAATGAGGGAGCTAGTAAGACAGGAATGTGAAAGCAAAGGGAGTTCTGAATTAAGGTGCAAGTACCAATAACAGTGATCTTTATAATGCTCTCATTTAACAACTGAGTTCTCATATCCAGTTGTTGGGGCCTGCAGGGTTGTGGGTAATGTGGTCACAGTAAGTAGACCTTACCACTGATAAGGAATCTGCACACTCTGACACATTTGCCATTTATAGTGGTGAATACTCTCCCAGGAATGGAAGAAATATTTGCCCTCTTCCAGTAGTTTCAGAAACAACCAGACTAGAGGTATACTCAAGCCTAATTTGCAAACTTACAGGCATGCCCGTGTCAGAGGTGTGGTTGTGACACCATAAAGTGGCGCATCAGTCAGGGCATGCCCAGGCAACCTGTGTCGTGATATTATTCATGAGCTTGTCAAGCCATTGGAGATCTTTGTTACTTTTGAAAGGGAAGGTAATGGAAACATCATAAGAAATTGAGTGTAAGGCACTTTCCCGATCTTTAGTAACCACTGGATTTGAAAGTGAGTGATAGTTTTACTCATATCTGGTGCTGAGATGGCAATAGAATTTTTATTCAGTACCAACTTTGATTAATTGGTAGTGGCTGCTTGGAGTAGTTTTGAGAAAGATTCTGAGGGAACATCTGGGCTTACTGGAAAGATGACTTGAAAAGGTTATCAATGTCTCCCATGGAATGGGGGGAGGCAGTATATTAGGCTGGTTCATCCCTTTTATTTGCTGATGGGCATTTTTGGCTTCCCTGTTCCTTAATAGGTAAGCTCCAGAAGGCAGGAACTTTACACATTCAGCATCTAGCTAGCTCGTGCTAGGCTCATAGTGGGCATTCAGGTATTTGTTCAGTGAATGAGCAAATGAATGGTCTAACGCCAGAATGTGTGTGAAGTATCTAAAGTTTTCCAAAGTGAAGATGGGTACGTGTTAGATTACATGTCTAACACAGTCACGTAACTCTCTTGAGTGAGCATCTGCATGGCATGGTGCTTGGCACAGAGTACCAAAAGAATATGGCTTACATCTCTACCCCCAGGGAGCTACCATTCTGCTTGGGAGGAAAAGACAAACATGTTTGCAATGATTAGAGCTTGTAAGACAGGGTGATGTGTTAGAAAGTGCTAAAATGTCCCCAAAATGTGTGGCATAGGTTTGAATGTAAAAATACATTGCTTTATAATGTCAACCTATACTCTTATTCCAATATACCTGTGTTTTGCTTGGGAAAGCTTCTTTTTTCTTAACTTTTTCTGCTAGGTAAGGTAATACCTCCTTCCCACCTTTTCCTTTCATTTTTGGTGTCACTAGGATGGAATATTTTGACTGGTTGGGGAATTTTACTTTAATTTAAATGCCAAGGTGAAATGATCCATTAATAGAAAATAAATGTAATGCAGACTTTTTTCAGCTGAAGATTACCCAGTCACGACATTTGTTTCTAGAGAAATTATTTATATAATTTTTGAATTAAGCATAAGTCAGCATAAGCTTTTGTAGTGTAATTTTAGTACATCTTGAAAAGCTGTATCCTAAGTAATTGACAGCCTATACTTAGAAAGAAATAGAAATAGGAGAAATATACTGTTTTCATAATGTATACACTTTGTGTAGACTTGGCAGTTTAATATAATGTCAGAGAGTACGGGCTCTAGATTCTCACTCTTAGGGCTGGAATCTCCACCTCACTATGTCACCTTAAGAAAGGTATGGGGTCTTGATTTCCTTATCTGTAGAATGGGGATGATAAGAATCTTTCATAAGGCTGTTAGTATGATTGAATGAGATCTTTCAGATAGACCCATAGGCCTGTTCTTGACTTACAGTAAGTGCTCAGTTATTGTTGGCTATTGTTAATGTTATTGTTACTGTTTTTGTTATTAGGTGGGTTTTTATCCTTGACTTTTTTGGGGGTGGTAGGGTTCAACCTCACATTTGTGTTTTCATATAATTGGCTGTAAACCTTGATGGTTAATAGTTTATATGTATTTTTGCTTTCATACAGGTTGAATGTAATTTTTACAAAATTTGATGAAGTCCAGAAATCCGGGAACATGATACAGTCTGCAAATGGTGAGTAGAAAAGCAATATCTATTTCTGCCTTTTCAGTTTTATGTCAGTAACACTTATGCTATTTGTGAACAGGTGAATTAGTTATTTTAGTAACGGTTTCTAGGTCTTAAAACTTAACCTCCATTCACCCGCTTTCCCAGGCTGAAAACTGTGGTGTCATCATTGACTTTCTTTCATAACCTATATTGAATCCATTAACTAATCCCGTTGGTTTTACTTTTAAAACTGCTTTCTGAATCTCGATAATTCCCATCATCACTGCTACTATCTTCCTAGTGCAAGCTGTCTTGCTATTTTACCTGGGCTCCGTGGTACCTCCCTAACCAGTATCTTTTCTTCTGCTCTTTCCTCATGCCTAAAGTCTGTTTTTCACATAGCAGCTAGACTTACCTTTTAGAATGTAAATCAGGCGATGTTAATCTTCATTTCCAAATCCTCCAAAGGCTTCCCATCACACCCAGACTACAATTCAGTGGCTCGCCATGGCCCACCACACTCTGCACCATCTGGCACCTACCACCATTCTGATGTCATTCCTGTTACTCTTTCTGAAAGTTCTATTTGCTCCTGCCACATTGGCCTCCTTGAGACTTTTGAACATTCTGAACAACTCCTGTTTCGGGGCCTCCGTGTTTATGATTCTTTCTGCCTGAAACATTTGTCTCTTGGGTGTCAGTACAGCCTTCTCCCTCACTCCATGCAGATCTCATTTCTGTAGTATCACTTCATTACAGGGGCCACCCAGAAGAGCACATCCAGGAACTCTCTGTGCCCTTAACCCTGCTTGAGTTTTCTTCTTAGCGCTTATCTCACTACAAAATACTTGTTTACTCAGGAGGACATGAACTTTATTTTATTGCCTTAATTTCCCATTATTTTATTCTCACTGAACACGAGCTCAGTGCCTTGAAGAATCCTTGGCATGTGGTAGGCGTGTGATAAATAAAGTAATGGTTGTGATGTGAATTGCGACCTGTCGTTTCCAATTCCTGTATTCCTTTCACTATGCTTTACTGGTGATATTTGAGGACAGGTGGGGTAATTCTTCTGATTCCAGAAGAGGAGGGAATTAATGTGTGAATGAAAAGTCATCAAAAAGTTAATTGCGAATAAGAACTTATTTCTAACTCTGGATACCTCATTACATCATATCTATTTTAGAATTTTTAGGGATCTTAGATCAATATCCTTCAAATTTTGAGTATCTTGAGTTTGTAAAGAAAAGTTTGAGTGCTTTTCCCCAAAGCAACTTGGTACATGAGGGCAGAGCAGGTGACAGAATGCAGGTCTGCTGTGTACCTTCCATTATTCCATTATTATTCCAAAGGAAATTTTCTTCAGATAGCATGTTTCTTATAAAATGCTTAATGTCATCTAAAAATGCTTTCATTAATCCTTCACTTTTTTATATGCTTGTAAAAATATAACAATATTAATAGAAAAAATATTTGCCATAATTTAGCTGTTACTGACAGTCATTTTTTATTTTTCCATATTTTGTTATACTCCATTTTCCTTTAACTGTAAAATTTGTATATAGTTTTAACCATAGTATAATTTTCTCTTTTACCCTGTACTTTCATATATATAATTTTATATGCACTTGAAAAAAAATGTGTCATTGGTAGAGCTGTGACTAGAACTCTGGCATCCAAGTTATGTGCTGGTAATGAGTGGGGTTAATGGGTGTCCATGGGCAGGTGTACGCAGGCAGTTAGTTACTGGACACATGCTTTTACTTTTGTGTGTGTCTATTTGTTTAAGAATTGTTAACACGAAGACAGAAACTTCTGGTCAAGGAAGTAGAAATAGTGGCAGAAAAGCGAGTTTGTTCTTCATGCGCCAGTATTATAATGATGAAAAGGAATCTCAGTATAGTGCTGGCTTTGTGAAGAAGGACTGCATCCATATTGGGTTCCTTGCCTAGAAGAGTGTGCATATACTCTATGGCAGCGGTCCCCAAACTCTTTGGCAGCAGGGTCCGGTTTCATGGAAGGCAATTTCTCCACAGACCACAAGGGCAGGAGGGGATGGTTTCGGGATGATTCAAGTGCATTACATTTATTGTGCACTTTATTTCTATTATTAGTACATTTAATATGAAATATGAATATGGAAAATGAATTATGAAATATGAATCATTTCATAATATGAAATAATTATACAACTCACCATAATGCAGAATCTAATGCCACTGCTGATCTGACAGGAGGTGGAGCTTATGTTCCTCTCCCCTCCCCTCCCCTTCCTTTCCCTTCTCTCTCATTTTTTTTTTTTGCCCATAAACTCCTTTGAACTCTTCTGGACTGTTCTCTTTCCTCTAAATCCATCCACCCTCTACTTTCTCCATTTTGTTATACAGCTTAGACCTTTCTGAACTAACTAACTAGTTCTAGGAGTTTTTGTAACTTCCTTGGGATTTTCTCCATTGACGATCATGTTATCTGCAAATAGGAGCAGTTTTATCTCTTTTGGATCATTATGCCTTTAGTTTCTTTTTCTTGCCTTATTGCACTGGCTAGAACTTCCAGCATTATGTAACATAAGAGTGGTAAGACTGGACATCCTTGCCTGTTCCCAGGTGTTGAGTGTGGTGTTAGCTGTAGGGTTTTTGTAGATGTTTTTTTTTTTTAATCAAGATGAGGTAGTTCTTATCTATTCCTATTTATCTGAGTTTTTATCGTAAATAGGTATTGGGTTTTTTTTTTAAGCCATCAGCATAATTAAAAATTGAGATATGTAATCACCTACTCAAATTATCACTCTTTAAAAGTGCATGATTTAGTGTTTTTTTTTCAAATATATTCACAAAGTTTGCAGCCATCACTATTTAATTCTAAAATATTTTATCACCCCAAGAAAACCCACGCCCGTTGGTACTCATTCCCTATTTCCCCCCTCCCCCCAGTCTTTGGCAACCTACTTTCTGTCTCTGGATTTTCCTGCTCTGGAAATTTTATATAAATGGAATCATACAATGTTTGGCTTCTTTCACTTAGCATAGTGTTTTCAAGGTTCATTCATGTGGAAGTGGCTGCACCCTTTTGCATTCTCACCAGGAACCATGTATGAGAGTTAGTCTGTGCACATCCTTGCCAACAGTTGTTATTGTCTCTTTTTCATTGTAGTCATCACAGTGGATACAAAGTGGTATCTCATTGTGGTTTTGATTTGCATTTCCCCAATGGGTCATAATATTGAGCATCTTTTTCATGTGCTTTTTAGCCATTTATATACCTTCCTTGGAGAAACGTCTGTTCAAATAAATTTTTTGCCCACTTTTAAATGGGGTTGTCTGTTGTTGAGTTAAAAGAATTCTTTATGTATACTAAATACTGGAACCTTATCACATATATGATTTGCAAGTATTTCCTCCCATTCTGTGGCTTTTCTTTTCACTTTTCTTCGTAGTGTCATTTGAAATATAAAGTTTTTAATTTTGATGAAGTCTAATATATCTATTTTTTTCTTTTGTTGTTTGTGTTTGAGGTTTCATACCTAAGAAATTATTGCCTGTTTTTTACCAAAAGAACAAAAAGGAAAGAGACTGGGCCCGATCTCCTCTCTTCTTTCTGGGCTGCGTGTTTTTGGTCTCCTTTTGTTTAATGTCTCTTACTTGGTCATTACATTCTTAAAGTTTGATTCTAGGCCTTTTCATTTCTTAGGCAGCACTTTCTCCCTGGCTATACTTATCCATGACTATAATTTTATTTACTAACCATATCACGTTTTCATAAATGTTTTTCTCCTGTCCAGATCTTGCCACAGGGTTGGAGCTATATGTGAAGCAGCTGCCTGTCTGACATTTCCTCTTGTATTTGGAACTTGTATCTAAAACCAGATTTGTATTCTACTTCTGGCTGAAAGATAAAACACAGAACAATAAATATAGCCCCATACTAAATCTTTTCTGTACTTCCTATATTCGTGACTGCTCCATTATCCATCCTGGCATGTAAATAAAAACTTAGGTGTCATCTTTAATACCTCCCGTTTCCTCATTGGTCATGTATATTATCACTGATTCCTATGGATTTTAACTCAAATATTTCTTGAATCCATCCACTTCTCTCCCTCTCCGGCACTCTCATCCAATATACATTCTTTGCCTGTACTGTTAAAATAATCTGTGTACTTCTCTCACTGCGTCCATTCTGGCCCCTCAATCTGTTGTCTGTTGTAGAATCTAGCAAAATGAGGACTGCCCTTCTCTGCATGAAAACCACTATGGAGGCAAAAGAGACTCAGACCAAAAGATTTTCTATTGTCCTCCTTTTTCTTCCTCCCAGAACAGTGTTAAATAGCATTTAATATTGTCTGTGCTGTCCTTTTGACATTAGTTTGTGAAATTTTTATTTTTCAGAAATTTGAGCAGGGTGTACTTCTGCTTTCTTTGAGGTGGACACACCCGTAGCTAAACTTGATGGGCACACCTGGGTGATGGTGTCAGAGCATGGTGGTGTTCTTACTTCGTTCCTTTTTAATTTCTTGGGAAATTTCAAATATATTAATATATTAAAGTAGATAGAATAGGATCACATACCTCCATGTAGCTGTCTCCCAGCCTTAATACTGTTTGGGACATTGCCAATCTTATTTTATCTCTGCCTACCAGAAATGCTGCACTGCGGTGATGAGGGGCACTTGTAACCAGTTACCTCATTTGAGTCAGGCTCAAAGCGTGGGCATGTCCCTCTCTGTAATTGTTAGTAGAAATATTAAGATAGAAAATGAGTATCAGTTCCTGAGTAGGTGTATTTTTCTTAGCGATTTCGCAAGCACTGACCTCCTGAGAAGGTCCACACTGTCGTTATTGTCATCTTCTAAAGACACAGGAAAACAATCAAAATTTATAACTCCCATTTGTTTCCCAAGGGAAAGGAAAAAACATTACCGTAATTACATTAGTTACATGGTGATAATGGCGGGGGGAGGGCTTCAGTCCCACAGAGGGATTTTGACTAAGGATCTTTCATAACATCTCTGTGTTGTACTGGGT